TTTTGTGTACTTTTAAAATTTCTATTCATCAAAGAACCCCGAAAAAATTACATTCTACAAAAATATTATGCAGCACAACTGTTTTCTGCATTGGTGATAATAAGCAATGTTTCTTGAACAGCAAATCAGTATATTAGAATGATTTTTGAAGGATCATGTAACACTAAAGACTGAAGTAAGGATGCTGAAAATTCAGCTTTGCATCACAGGAATAATTCTATTTTAAAACATATTAAAATAGAAACCAATTATTTTTATATTTATAGTAATATTATTAATAATATTACTGTTTCACTTTATTTTTTATTAAATTTATTCAGAAACATAAACAAAAGAAATAAAAAATGTAGTGAATATTAAAGTATTGCCGAGTATCAAGAATACAAAGCATACACATATTGAGTGAAAATAATTGTTTTATTTAATTGTACTTTTATCAAAAATTGTCAGTACTTAAATAAATTGATATGGCTGATTTCAAGATTCTACCATCTTAGAATCTCACAGCTAATGCAAACGCAGAAATTTAACACGGCATCAATTCAAAACCAAAGGAACCATTAGCCATTTAATGTTCAAAAATAATGTACTCTCTTGTAAAATACCTATTTTTGCCTATTTATTCAAGATACAGTACATACAAGAAATTAAGGATCTATGAGAAGCCTTTTTAGAGCTGTTGAATATAAATATATAAATGAAAAAGAAATGTGAGGGAGATCTTTAACCAAATGCTTTTGTCAGCAGAAACACCACAGGAGGTGGACGTTCTCCAACACTGCAATCTTGAATCTTCCAATCTGATCTTCATTCTGGGATCAAGGAAGCTGGATCTAGAGGAATTAGCATTCAAATGATGAGCTTTACTGCTGTCGGGCCTCTAATGTTTCTTTCCACACAGAAGCTCTCTATTCCACCAAAGAGATGGGCTAGGCAGTGAGAAGCAGCTCTTTGTGTGTTCAGTTTGACTGAAGTCAGATTAAAGCAAGAGCAAACCCCGTCAAAAGCTACCAGCGTTTAGTATTACAGGCTTCTTGCAGGCTAGCGTAAGGAGCAGGTCCAAGCGTTGGCGTGACATGCATGTAAGCAGGGCAGAGCATTCGAGTAGCGTCCCTAACCTCTGTTCTCTTGTTTTTACATCTGCGCTACTAGAGGTTAAAGCTTCTCTAAACAAAAGAGAAGAGGCTCCCGCAGTGCCCTATTACAACTCTTTCTAACCCCTGGTATGGGAAATAACAAATATTAGACATGCATGACCATCGGGGCTTGATTAAAATCGGAGAGCGAAAGCTGCTGCTTCTCGAAAGCTGAGGGTGGGAGAGTGTTTGAATGAAAGAACACAGCGAAAAACATACACTGAAAGATGCGATGTGGGTCAGAGGGCAATGTTGTTGGTAAAATAACAATAATGGTAACACTTTATTATAAGGTTTAATTTATTAAAGACCCCTGTGGTGAATTTATTTATTTTTTTACATTGTTTGCATGTCTGTCTGTTCTTTAAAATATGCTTAACATATTGCATTCAAAATCTGTATACTGTTTTCACATTCCAGGTCTGTTTGCACTAAAAGAGTCGTTGCTTTATTAAATAGTTATAACTTAATATTTTTCAACAAAAACCTATTGTATATAACTAAAATATTGTATCTGATCAGCAACTTCTAATTAATCAGTGAATGTGAAAAAAATCAAAGTTTTGAATGTTACCATGTTATTACTGCATTCATTTTTTTATTGATTAAATATATATATATATATATATATAATTCAATATTGAAACATTATTTTCATGGGAAAAAACAAACACACACACACACACACACACACACACATATATATAT